GCTGGGAAACATGAGTCATTCTAGACTACTAAACTGGGTGCATACTGTTGACTCAAGAAAAAGAACTGATAGGAAGCAGCCACGGATAATGCCAGATGTTCCATTTATATCTTTCCCAGCAGGTGTCACTACAGTGTAGCACTACTATAAAATCTTACAAGGGTGACAATTATTCGAGGAGGAAAAAATTATAGAAAATAAGAGGCATATAAGCAAAATATGAAGTAAATACAAAAGATTGGATTTTCCCTCCTTCCAAATAACAAAAAAAGTATATGTATTATGCCAAACATGGATGACAACTGGAGAAATCAGCTTCAAGAAAAAATAAATTTTGCCGAAAATGTATATTATTTGCATTCTAATATACATAATTTCCTGTCTACAAATTGGTGCATCTCTGGAAGATACGTCTTTAATAACATTGTTAATTTAATGCAAACATTAAATGTTCCTTTTATGTTAGGCATATAGCATGCACATGGCCATATACAGTGTACAGAATTCTATTAATCAATTTTAAATTGTTACAAGACTGCTGCTGAAATCTATTATTTTGGGGGGGATGAAATGCATTTATAATAAACACACCACCTACAGCCAAGTTCTCTTGTAACTGGCTTCTGGTATAAAAAAAAAAAAGAACTTTATAACAATAACAAGAAAATGAATTTTCATTTTAAAAGGCAGTCTCTATACAATCTCTGGCTATCCTGCCACCCAGCTATTCTGCAGGCATTCAGACACTTCACTGTAATGTCTAAAAAAAATCAATAGCAATTTATTCTCTCTTTGGACCCCAAGCAACAAAAGTAAATAATACTGTCACCTCCAGTCTGCCTGCAGAACATGGTCACAAAACAGTCTTGCCACTATAATACAACCCTATATGGCTCTTTATCTATGCTGGCTCTGCTGATTGTATTGGCTTTCATAAGGGACAAATACTCCAGGAAAGTAACACAAAAGGGTCAAGTTCTTGTACTCCAGCCAGAAAGAGTGCTGGGACTGAATTAAGAGAAAGGCTTGGCATGTCTTGCTTCAGTTTCATCTATGTTGATTTTATTGGAACAAATATAGGTCATATTAGAAATCTGCTCTGTTTTACAGAAAAGCAACTCTAAAAGGAAAAACATGCAATAAAATAAAGTTTGTAATGTGTGTTTTCATAATAATCAAATAAAATTAAAAAACCCCCAATCCATAAATGTGACTGGTAATTTTCTTTAAAGCAACATAATCCACACAACATTATTTCCAGACCGAAATTATGAACATATAACATTAATTTAGAATATTTAAAAAAAAAAAAAAAATCACAATAGTTTACAATAAAATTTGGGAAATCAATTTCTTTTTCACTTTGATTCCAAACATCTCTTTATAATTATCAATAAACTCACAACAATATAAGGACAGGAAATGACAGTTTTAAAATGTATTTTTAATTGTTATGTCTGGCCATATATTCAGCTAACAACTGATGATCTAATGTGTATATATAGTCTAAAACCATACTTTGTCCCAGCTTCATAATTTAACTTTTACAGAGGGACCCAGTCCAACAAGAGAGGACCTATTAGTACAAATTCTTCTGCTCTAATGGAGGGCTCCAGAGAGAGACATTAAGGGGGCAGACAGAAGTGACAGTTTACAAGTGGGGGGAGGTGGAAATGCAGCCCTCTCACCTAGGGGGCCCAATCAGCTCCTCCCACCCCAGAAGCTGCAAGATGAGGGGGCCCTGTTCCTCATCCTACCCAGCTCTGGCCATTCAGCAGCTGGGAGACCCCTGTCCTTCCTCCCACCTTCGCTGATACCCTTGAGCCTGGGGGAGGGAGGGAGAGGTGGACTGGGGAGAAGGGTGGTTCAGCAGCCTCCTGGGAGGCCGAACCACCCTTCTCCCCAGTCCGCCTCTCCCTCCTGGGAGGCTGCTGGAGTGCTCTTGCCTGCTGGCCTGGGCCAATAGAGGCTGAATCCAGCCCTCCCCACCCTCCCCCCACAACCCAACAAGTGAATGTCTGTTGGACTGGGGTGGGGGGGGGGACACTAACTCATGGCACTTTACGTAAAGCACCATGAATTAGAGTGGGGCCCTAAGGTCTGTCTGCATCCATACTTATCTTTCTGCAAACTTGGGTGTCTCCAATAACAGATTCTGTTGTGGGGGTGGAGCAACAAATATTTGGTATTTGAACAATTTACTCTCCCATGTGTAGAGGTGGTTTTAATGAAGAATATTAAAGAAATCAATGGCTAGAGAATACAACACTCAGTAGGTACTTTACGCTAATGGATGTAAAGGACAAAACAACTGATTCTAACTTGCAATGGAGCATTGATGGTTAGGGACCTATCACCCTCTCTCTACAACATCCAACAGGAAAAACAACTCTCAGAAAGAGTGTCCCTTCCAACAAAGGAGACTGTTAACACTGAAAATCCATATTAAGGCCTCCTAAATCTGAGTTAATTGGATATTGCTATTTAATAACAGTT